AATTTCTCATTATTCATTTCACGTTTTCAGTAGTTGTTTATTTCTTTTAGAATACAGAAAAGGCTTCAAATGGTAACTCTGTTGCCACTGATGTTTGGCCCACTAATAAAATTGGTCAAATCAACTTAAAACCAGCCCTGTATATACACACACACACACACACACACACAAAAGTGGACACTGAAGTCAACACTAAGCAGCAACAGTCTGTTTCATGATTGAATGCAATCTTCATGATCTGAAGGTGACTGAAAAGTAACTCCCTATTTTATGTATGAGTTGCCAGCCAAAAGTCCTGATTTAGCATCCTGTGACTATTTTTTCTTTGGGGTTGATAAAAGGAAAAAGTCTGCTATATTAAACCAAAACTTTGGAAGAACTTTGTGGGTGAATACAAGAAGTTATGTATTCCATACCATAAGAGTTCCTAGTGAAATCAGTTGATGTGATTCCTGGGTGGCTTGAGAAGCTGACAGTGAAATCTGGTGCCCATATTGAATTTTAAATAAAACTTTATGCTAAACATTTTCCTCCTTTCTTGTAAAAATTATAGTTAATAAATAAATTATAAGTATTTTAAAATGAGAAGTTACCTGTATGTATATGTGTGTGTACGTGTTAGCTGCAACAATTTAATTAATGGAATATCGCCATGAAAGTAAAAGTTGCATTCCCAGTCACTATTTGCTACTGTCACCTGAAAAGTACTTCTTGTGAAGCTATGCACTTTGTTTCAAACAATGGCACTATCATCTCACATTCTTGGAGCTTGTTTGATTAATTTAGTCACATGTGGCTGGATGTCAAAGATATCAGCAAATATTTTTCCTTTCAGGAGATTTTTCAGTTTTAGAAATTGACAAAATTCACAGGGGAACTCAGTCTGATAAATAAGATGAATAGCTCATTTTTGTATCATTTTCACATGATATATTTATCATCCTGTTATAATTGTGCTTGTCCCTCCCTTCATTAGTTTGAAAGCTGCCAATACCTAAAAAATAAGGGACTATTCCATTTTGATTGCATGCAAAGAGGGGAAAAGACTCTACTTCATTTTAGTGAGAATATGAAAGAAAAATGTTTAATAGCTGTTTCACTGAAATGAAATAAGTTGTCAATCGGATTTTTTCATTTCTACCCACTTCTTAAAATAACGACCAGCATTCATATTTATGATTGTTATTGCAATATTTTGTAAAAGTTGTTAAGCTCAAATATTTAACAATGTGATAAGGGAATTTCTATGGATATTTTATTGTAGAGCTCAACATGAGCTTATTCAATGATTAATTTAAGAATTAAGATTCATCAGAAAATTAAAATAGGAAAACTAAAATTTTGACAGGTTAAAAATAGTATAAATAATTTTGCTAGGATATAAAATTTAAAGCAATAAAAAGGACATGTTACAACAAGAAGGAAGAATAATGAAAATAAATAATATTTCCATAAAATGGTAACATTGAAATGCAACACAACAAAATAATATTGAATTTGTTGTATGCCAATGCTACCACTTTATGGTAATGTTATTTTTTTTAATATTTCTTTTTTGTACTGCTTTAATTATATAAATTTATCCTGAAAATTTTGCCAAAATCTGTTGCTTAATAACAGTTCTATTATGAAAATAATAGAATCTGACAGCATGTGAAACTTCCCCATCCCCGCTCCATCAAAGAATATCTGATGTTTAGTTGATGCCCAGAAAACTCAGTAACAGAAAATTCTGTAATTTTGACAAGGTAGGAAAATTTGGTGTGGGGATTTGGGGGCTACAACTATAGTAATTTAATAACTACTTATTTAAAAGATATTTATTTAAAAATATTGGAGTAGGGGCTTAGCCCCCCATCCCCACTCCATCCAGAAAGTATAGCCCTGGTATTATTGCAATGGAGTTTTATCTAGACCAGAACCCAAGATTTTTTAGCTAATACTTATTTAAATGTAGGTGGAGGCTAGCATCCTCCAGAAAGCATAGCTCTGGTATTTTTATACTGGGGCTTTAGCTAGAACCCCCCCCCCCGATAATAATACTTTTAAAAAAATATTGGTGAAGGATGTCTAGTTACAAAATTTTCCTACCTTGTCAAAATTATCAAATTTTCCATTACCGAATATTCCTATATTCATTTAGTCAGATTATAGATAGGTAGATACATACATACACACACACACACACATATATATATATATATATTTCTACCATGAGAATTTGTTTCTGCATGTGTTATGTTGTGCATTTGTATCTTATATAAGTACAATGTGAGTTAAAAATTTAAAGCTGCATACTGTTCAATTACTGAATTTTTGTATAGCTCTGTCAAATGTATAATACTGTCTTAATTATCAGTGGCTGCTCCTCTTTTTATGTATCTGTGACTGTTTGTCTTTTCTCTTTGCATTGATCATTTAATTTTTATAATTCTATGAATTATTTGGACTAGTATCATCATCATTCTTGCATTGACCATAACATCTCCAGCTTTCCTTTGATAAATTGCATCAACTACTTTTCAAGGAGCTTTGAATTGAATCAAATTCTTCATAAAATAAGAGTTTCTGTACAAACTCCTTAGGGATTGTTATTACAACATATAACTGAGGAAGACTAGAATGTGTACCAACTTAAACAGTGTAAGTGAAGCAATGAAGATAAGAGTCAAAATAATTCATAGAATAACAAATCTTCAACTTCATTTTTTTTTTCCAGAACTAATATTGATATGGTTTTTTATTTATCAGAACAAATGAAATCAGAGAAATCATTTTTATTTCATGATGGAATTTTTTTTTCTTACTTTATATGTTGAGTTTTATTAGATATGGTTGAGATAAAATTTTGGTATTAGATTTTTTTCAGAGGTAAAAATAAATGCAGCTATTCCTGCATTCATGGTGTTTTGAATTTCATTTTAATTTTGGATTGCATTATTTTCTTTGTTTCTTTTTTGAGTCTTTTCTGTTTTATATTCTTAACTTTTTTATTTTATTTTATTTTTTTTTTATTTTTTTGTTAATTTCTGTTTTGTATTTTTCATTAATTTTTTAAATTTCTTTTTGAAATAATTATTAATTTCTCATGTTTGTTTCTTAGCAAATTTACATCATAAAACTTTTAAGGACAGTTGGTATAAATCTTTTAAGTGATGGAATTTTTAGATTAATTAAACCAAATCAATTTTTTGTTGTATTTTGCCTTAAAACAAGCCTGAAATTGAAAAAAAGAAGGAAAAAAAGTCTATTTTCCAAATCAGGTTGATTAAACTTTGTTGTTGATCTCTGCCTAAATAGATTCTCAACCATATTGATTTTTACTGTCAGTTTTATTTTTATGAATGTTTTACAAACATTTGGTTTGTAAATTATGATAGGTGGTTAATTGAATAATATGAAATGTATTTGTGTCTGTATTTAATTTGGATGCATTATCAAAAGTTAATATGTGCTATTAGTGTGTCTCAAAAGTGATATTATGTTCATTTTTTTGCTACTTCTTATTAGCAGAAGCAATACTATTTTGCTGTACCTTTTCTGTCAGAATGACTAATACAAATACTGAGCTGCTGGCAATTGAAGGATTATTTTAAAATGGCCTTACACCCACTGAAAATGGTCGCAGAATTTAAGAAGTGGAAGAAAATAAAACAGTATTGTTTTCCTGGCTGAAACTGATTTAAACAAGTGTAGTGACTTGTCCTTTGAAATAAAACCCAGAAACAGACAACCATTATAAATTAGATTGTTTAAAATGCAAATTAGAGGAGACCTGACTACTTTAAAAAGTGCTAGGATCATCAGTTGTTGCTTCAGATTAGATATCTTTCTGATTCATTCTACATACTGGCCAGGTGTGAACAATAAGAAAGCAAGAATAAAAAAAAGTTGCTCTCTGTGAAGGGGCTCCAGGCATCACATCTGCCTCACAAAACAAATCCACCCCCCAAATAAAACACAATTTAAAAGGAGTCAATTTTGAACATTGCTGCTAAGGCAAAAATATGAATAAAAATTGTAAGTCATGATTCACCCTATCAGCTTTTAAGGACAACACTCACAAATGTTATAAGCATAGTCACAGCATATGAGCGAGCTGTCAACATTATCACCAGTGAGCTTAGTCAGCTGATGCAACAAATGCATCAACCCCTTTCACCAAGTCATTCCCCTTGCACACAAAGAGACATTCCACTCATATCCTCTGTATTGGCAATACAAAGAATTTTATCTTAACAATCCTTTTTCTATTTTCTTTTTGCCTCACCAGCAGTACTTGTTGTTTAGTTCGTTCTCTCATGGTATTTACGTGCAGTTATAATAATATCATAGAGCATTAATAAGCTTGAAAATATATACAGGAACTCTTAAGGGATCCTTGATAAAAAAAAATGAAAAGACTTTTGATACACTGTAATAATTTTAAATATCAGCTTAACATATTCTCTATTGCAATCTTGTAAAAATGATGTGTAATTTCATGCATTCTTTTGAGCTACTATCCTCATTGTTGTTATTTTTATCCCAACATGTTAACTAGTTTTTACTTTAACCTTTTTGCATCTTGTAAAAAGAAAATACTGGATTGCACTCAAGAATATGCAACATATGTTTGAGAAACCTGAAGAATACAGTAGTCAAAATGTTGTCATGAAACAAACAAAAAAAAATTATGAAAATTCTCATAGAATAATTTGCAAAATAAAGAAAGAACTTCAAATTAAATTTAAGCATTTTTTAAAATATTGACATAATTTTTAAAATCTAACATAAAATTTAGTAATCAGTAAATTATACTATCTCTCTCCCATAATAGTTGTTGCATTGATGTATATATTTCATCTACTTAATATAACAATTGAGAAAATTTGTGTGGTCTTTCTTGCTGTCAAAGATGATATATCATATATGTAATTAAAATAAACAAATGATTAATAATTTAACTAATTTTCATTAAAATGATGTTTTAATTTCCTTTTTTTTCCTTTCAAAATCAGGAAGATCATCTCTTGCCTCAATCTCAAATGACAAAAATGAAAACACTTCAGCAGCATTAAAGCCAACCACTTCCAAATCATGTTCATCTCTTCCCACAGAAGGAAGGTCTTCAGAAAAGTCTACTGGCTCAAAGAAAGTGGAATCACCTACAAGCAAAATAAAGAAACTGATCAGAATTAACAGCAAAGATTTGGATGAAGAAAAGAAAGCTGGTATAAAAAGGGCAAGAAGTTCAGAACCATCTCATGACAAATCCTGTAAGTATTTTTTTAATCATTTTATTTCAGACCAGTTTTTCCCAAAACTTTTTTTGCCTGCAACCAAAAACAGAGAATTTCTTTTGGCCTGCCAATCCTAAAGTCAGTATTTGTTCATTTAGTTTTACCAAATAAATTTGGCTTAAATTTAATAATCAGTAAATTTTGATTATGTCACTCAAAGAAAATTGAAAGTACAACACCATATAAATGTGTACATATCACAGCATGTCAGTTCTCCAAAATAGAAGTAAGAAATGATACTACAATTACATCAGGTTGCAGCCACCTCAGTGTACAATTATTTGACATGAACAGACTGAAATACATCAGGAGTTTTAATAGATTTACTAACACTTTATTATTCAAGACTATTTTCCTGTTCTAGAGTTTCAATGATGAAATATATATATATATATATATAAATTGGGATTTAAATATGCAGAGTGCAACAGACAAAGTCAGTAGATTTTCAAAAATAATTGTACACATGTTACACAATAGGTCAGCAACACAACTGGTTCAGAACACATGCAAAGTTAATTGGGCTATAATTGATTTTATCTGCCAGAACTTGTTTTTTTTTATGACTAACAGTAAAATCTGGAATGGGATCTTCAAAGCAGACACCTACTTCACAAAAAGGGGAATAAAATAATAGATAAATAAATGAAAACTTTCAGAGTCAAGTGCTATTTGGCGAGAAGTTGAAAATTTACACTCACAGGCTTATATAAACAGTCAGTTAGAATTAAGGGTAGTTCCAGACTGCCCATTGGTGAGTAATTCTGATACAAAGTTATAATAAAGTTAAAACATATTTTTTGTTTTTCTTATGTAAAGTATACATATGATAACTTGATAATTCAACATATCTATCTGACTCTGACAAGTGTTGTGTATGCAAAACTTTGAAGTTGCTCAAAGAAGTCAATTGCATCTTATTAATTCTTTTTGGCTATTGTTGTTCTAGTTCTCTATTGAGCACTTTCATGATAAAAAATTCTGCTTGCCTTGGAATATGTTAAATTCTAGTAATTTTACATATTTTGCTAGGTTATTTCAAATATATAATAGGTAATAGAGATTTTAATAAGAACTACAAATATTTTACTAGGCATATATTTTGGAGACTTAAATATCACTTAGTAGAATAAGAATTTAAGTTAGATTAGCATCATTTAGAAACAAATAATTCACATTTTATTCAGTTTTATTGCCAAATGCCATATGTTTCAAATGAAAAATGCTAAAAAGCTGTTGTTTTATTAAGTGGGTAAAACCCAAATGGAATTGCCTCTGCCATAGAAATATCTTGTAGTGTACAACAAATTTATATGTTGGAAAAAAATAGAAATCCATTATTTCTCAGAAATTGTTTTCTTTTCATTTTGGATATGAAATTGAGCAGATATGGCTTTCTAGAAAATATCTGAACAAGATGTGCTTTAAGGCAAATAGAACCTTGCTTGGCTGTGAGGCTCTCTGTAGCTAAGTGGTCTAAAGTACACTAGATCAGATACTTGTATAAATAGGATTGAACTGACATCAAATACAGAATACTTTTTAATTTTTGAATTGTTTATTTTTTATGGTCTTAATAGTTTAGTCTTTAGTTGTGAGTAGATTTTGCTTCCATATAGGTGATGTTTCTTTTTTCACATTTTTTTAAATTTTTTTTTTTTTTAATTTAAATTTCAGCATTTTTTGGAGCAGGCTCAGAAAATGACTCAGCAAATTTTGATGATTCAGATGATTTTGTTGAGTAAGTATTTTTTTCTCTTTCTGTATTTTTGTACTTTTCTTTGTTCTCTCTCTATATATATATATTTGTTCTTAGTTTTCTCTCATTCCTTTTTTTATCTTGATTATTTTCTTTTCCTCTTTCTTTTGTATCATTTTTTGTTGCCTCTTTAATAAAGGTTTTTGCTCTAAGTCAGTTTTGGAATGCCTGCTAAAAGTTGCTTAATTCATAATGTCATTTTTAATTACGTCAAAATCTGAAATTGATTTCTCATCTGTTTTCAGATCACCTAATTGTTCTGAATCTCAGCTTGACAATATTGAGGTAAATCTAAATTCTTCTTTCTTTCTTTCACACTATGTATTTGTATCTTTATATTTTAGTTAATATAACTTAAAAATAAACACATGCTGTTGTTTGGAGGCAGAAGAGTAAACTTTAGACTCAACTTTGTTCTCAATGGGAACATAACTATTCCATCTTCTGTATCCATGTCTACATTTGCTACACTGTCCACCAGCCTTTTACACACAGACTTCCTTCTTCAATTTGCTCCTTTCTGTTGACTACACATCAGTGTAAATCTGATGACTAAAAAATATCCCGCCTCCTTGTCTTGATTCTTCTTTTATACCACTCTTACCCGCAATCCCACACAGATAACTGGTTGCAGTCACCACCACCAGTATTTAATCCTTCACCCTACACATCAGTGTCTCAGTTCCTTCACCTCGTTTCTCTGTTTCCAATAGGTAAACTTCTTTCTTTCTTTTTTTTTCAAATTCCAGATGATAATCATTGAAGAATACTTACTAAATTATCTGAAATTATCTGTTGGAGACTAAAAATGATTCCAAGACATGAAAGTGATGAATACAAAGTTACAGCATTTTACTCTACCTTGTTTTAGTCTATTTATTTCTAATATATTTTAATTTCTTTTTCAGCTCAAAGCTAGCGGTGTCCAATTTGATAGCAAACCCTGTAGTAAAATTACGTTAACTCTTGATGTATTATTGGCAGACAAAATACAGCAGGTAAGTAAACATGATTGGTTAAAAATAAACTCACTGATGTCAAAAGGTGAAAAATAAAATCATAATAAATAAATAAATAAATAAAGGGCTCCATTTTAAAATTCTGTGAGTGCTAAAAGATTTAACATCCATCTGAAAAACTGGCAAAGAGTATAATGTAAAATTGTAAGGAAAACACCAAATATAGGAATTCTAGTAAAAAAACAAAAAAAAATCTCATTTGTTGGAATTGGAGAGTTGTAAAAATTAAAAAGAATAAAAGATGTAATTTTAAAAAGAACTGATACTTTATATCTATAACACGGCCAGCCCGGATCAATCTGAGGTCCTTCCCACACTGCTGCCATTCAACTGATGGTTATCTGCTGACTACTTCGTTCTTTCATCTGCTCTGTCCCACATTGTGTTCTTTGATCATAGAACAGTGATGATCAAGAGCTTAGCTTTAAATTTAATTATTATCTTATAGAGGACAGTAACTTTTAAATCAAAAATTATATTTTGTTTTGGAAAATAAAACCAAACAAAGATAAAAAAAAAAATAATTGCATTAATTAAACCTTGCATATTGACTTGAAAACTGCTTATCTGGGACTTTTTATGCTGGTGAAAGAAGTTAAGCATGTGAATATATGTTTGTAATACAGACTAATCTCCCTTCATATCACTGTGCATGAGGAGATGCTGAAAAGTTCTCAGCCCTGCCTACTTCCCAAAATCTGACTAGGTTGAGAACTTTTCAGGATCTCCTTATATTACAGGCATAGATATACAAAAAAAAATTCATTTATATCCGGGATCTGAAGTAATAATTGGAGACAAAATCTGAAGCAATATGGAGTGGATTCAGAATTAATAAGGATCTTCTTTGATTCTTTCTTTAGCATAAAACCTTATAGTATTGCAACAATATATTTTCAGCATTTAACATTTTATTTTTCAGAAAATTATAATTTTCCTTGATAATTTCAAAAAAAATATAAATTCATCCATTTCCCATGAATTAAACCTTATTTGGATATTTCACCATAAATTAATGAAGAAAAGATTTTGTCTGAATTTCTAGAGTCAGGAGTTATCATTATTTACAGCTGGATTAATATCCTCATCTTTGTTGTTATGATCACAACATTTTAGCCATTGTGGCTTCTGGCCTTCTTCAATTATCTGTCAATCCAGATAACCTTCTGGAAACTTCCAACTGAACCATCATATAATTTATTTATCTAATTTATAGATTAAATAATAGATTCAGTTCGAAATACACTGAAGGTTACTTGGATTGACAGACACCTGAAGAAGGCCAGAGGGCACAACAGCCCAAAATGTTAAATTATTAACAAAGATGAGGACTGTAAATATTGTAAATAAAACATTGAGTGTTTTGCTCTGATACAAATATTATTCATAATATACTATTTACCATTTATGAGGGAAGCAAAATTGGACAGTAAAGAAAAGTAGATTCAAAATCAAAGTTTTGATTTATTGATTCCATAGCTAAGATTTATAATATGAGGTGCTGCTGAAAAGTTCTTGGCCAAACCAAGAAGCCCTTCTAAAAACATTTCTGATTTTTACTTTGGTTTTGAGAAATAGATTGGGCCAAGAACTTTTCAGCATCCATTTGTTGATGTTAACATTGGTTCCACACTTGTATTGACTAGATAGAACTGAGAAAGATTGATTTATATGTGTTTTTCTTTCTTTTGAGGATGAACTGGACAAGATGAATGAAGAACTGCAGGTAAGTACAGCACAGTTACAAAAATGTCTTGGTGGGCATTTTAACCGACCACATCTCCAAGCATAGCATAGTATTGATTTTAGTTGCTTTTTATTGTAACTGTTCAAACTGTCAGTCTACAATCATCAGTAAAATACTAATCAAGGCATTTAATTAAATTGTCTGCTCCACTCATAAAACATATCAAAGAAATTTTTGTAACAATTTTATAAATTAGTATTACAGCATTTGTCAGAACAGAAAAATATTTTTTTATCATTTTAAAAGTGGTGTCCTGTTCATAATATAAATACAGTAGCAAATCAATTACTGATTTCATCTGTACTTAGTTTTTATTTACAAATGTTAAGTTTTAAACTGTGCTTATGTCATTGATAACTGCATTATATTACAAATTTAGGAAAGAACAACATAAGTAGTACAGAAGTACACTAGTGTAGCATGTATATTTTATTGAGATGGTATTTAAAAATGTTCTCAAAATTATTTTCTAATTTTCTATAATGCTTGACACAATATGTACTTAGTTCTAGCTGATGAAGCTCAAGTATGAGTCAAGTGACCTCTGGATTGTGTTTTTCTGTTAATTCACTAACAAGATTATTCTTTTCTTTAAAAGGAACATATGCTTCAAGGGGGAATTACAAGTATGTTGGCAGAATTTAATGAACCTGGTAAGTATGAATACTTTAGTATCAAATGTTTATTATCTTAAGTGAGTAAAAATTAATTCAGTGTAAGCTAAACAATAAGGTGTCAGTTATTTGCATACAGTAGACATTTTGAACAACATTAGATTAATATTAAATGTTTATTTTATGCACTGTGTCATTTTATTATGCAAGTCAATTTTTTCAATATAAAATTGGCATTAGCAAAACTTGCATAATGAAATCTGATAGTATCATCTATATCTTTGATGCTTTCTTTTCAACTCTTGTCAATTCTTATTGATAATCAAATATAAATAATATAAATTACACTAACATTGGAAATTGAAAAAACACAGCCATATTGCTTCAAGGCAACATGAGATGGTTTTGATCATAAACCAAAACTCCCTTGACAAGACAAGATCAATGTTTTGTAAATAGAGAAACATTGTTAATAAGTATTGGATTTTGAAACCCAAGATCATTTTTTGTTAGAGTTTATATAGTAATCATTTTTTTGTTCATCTATTTTATGAGGAAGTACTAAAAAGTTCTTGGCCAAGCTCACTTCCAAAATCTGATCTAATGACCTAAATATCAGAATGTTTTTAAAAGTCCCCCTTTTTTTTGAGTAAACTTCTCAGTACCCGCTCATATTCTTTTACCATTCTATGCTTTTTTTTCCTCTATTTCATTCATTTATTCTTTATAAATTTCATAGAAACATTTCTTATTTTTACAGATGAACTTCTTCCTGAGCACCGAGAAAAAATTGAACAGGTGTGTTTATTTTGCATGTTATACTACTTAATCAAGATCTCTTTCTGATTCACAAATACATTTCACCAGATATGTCGGCCGGATATGAGTGCTAAGAAAGTAAAACACAAAATAAAAAATTGTCTTCTGCGCAGGGGCTTCAAGTATCACATTCAGTCCACAAAACAAATCCCCACAAAAATCCAAAATGCAATAGCCAATCATGAACATTCCCACCAAAAGAAAAAAGATGTGTCCAGGAGCCTGCACCTGTTAAACCACAGATATAAAAACAGCACTAAAGTTTGACTTCAGCATCTTAGCCTCATCACATAACCACCAGCACATCAAACACCTTACCAGTGTCAATTTCCACCCTGAAGCAAAGTGTACATCACTCCCACCAATGAAACTCCACTTGGCTTCACTAATCTGCTCCAGATCTCTCTCCTGATACCAACCGTGACCTCAGCTAACCAAACCAACAAACCAGTGAACTCTTGACCTTACCAACAACACTCTTACACATAATCGCACAAAAGAACTACATATTAACAATTTTTGTCACTTTTCACATAACTATGTATATATTTAGAAATTTGATAAATACACATTATTTGGCTACCAACTTACTAAGTTTTACCTTTTAGCTGTTTTATACTTTTATAATATCATCACTGAAAATGTCTGTGTAAAAACAAAAAATATTCATAGGAATCTTTTGCTGAGGTGAAATGTTATGACTGAAAAAAAACTTTCTGAAAGTTGATGAGGTTTATATATTCTCTGAATAGACATTTTAAATAACTTAGCTGAATAAAAACTTATGTTCATTGGAATTGAGAAAAAGGCCTTTTTCTCTTTTTAAGTATGTAAAAAAATAAATAAAATAAAATTTTGCAGTGGTTGAGCTTGGCAAAGTATTTTTCTATATCTGTAATATATGTATGTGTGGAACTACATACTTAATAAGCTTAGTTGAGCACAAATCCATACAGTGAAAAAAGTAATATTGGTGCAAAACAATCTTCAAAGTTGGTAGGATTTGCATATCTGCTTTGAAAATTGTTGTTCAATACCCTGTATTGTAACTGGGTTCAAAAACTAACTACTGACAGCAGTATGAAATATGCATCTATTGTAGCCATATGTTATAGACATATAGGCATAATTTTCATTAAAAATGACTGACAAGGTACTGCAGTTATGTTTTTTTATTTAATTTTTCTTGTGTTCTTATAATTTTCTTCTTTTGTGGACATAAATTATCCCAATGTTCTATATGTATGAGCACTTTCAACTCTACTTTTAGTCATTATCAAGGATGATTTTATTTTTATTTTTAACTAAATCTATGGATCATTTTTCAGTATCTGTCTATATTTCTGAGATTTAATTTTTAATCACCTTCTTTGATTCTCTTTTTTAGCTGAAGGATTTTCCCCAGTTCAAGATGAATGAATCTCCTCCTTGGGAAACAGTTTTTAAAGCCTCCCACTACTGTTGTTTGTTTTCTTCATCCCTTTACCCAAGCCATTTTCGATTTGTACCCGGTAAAAGCAAGATTGACAACACTCTTGCAGAGACGAAAGGTAACACTTGACATCCATTTAAAAATTGAAAATACAGGAACTTATTTATATTATTTACAGTCAAACTAATCTCCTCATGTTTTTTGTTATTATCACAATGTTTCATCCATTTTGCTGACTGGACTTTTTGAAGTGATTGTTGATCTGAGTATCCTTCAGGGAATTTTAAACTGAACCCTTTATTTAATCTATGGGAGTAGATTGTTCTTGTTCTGCTGTCCATGTTTAGTAATAACACATCTCGTTGTCTTTTCTTTTTTTTCTTTTTTTTAACTTCTGTTCAGTTATTGCTGGCCCTGTTTCCATTGAGTCTAAGTTTGTACTACCCTGCCCAGGGATTGAACTCATAATTACTATGCCACCAAATTTATGAACCAATACTTTAATCTACTAGGATAGGTTCAGTTCAGAATTCCCTGAAGGTTACTCAAATCAACAGACAGCTGAAGAAGACTGGAGAGTACAATGGTTGAAATATTGTGATAATAACAACAAAGATGAAGACATTAGTCCTACTATAAATAATGATAACTCCTCATCACAGAAATTCAGACATAAATATCAGTACTTGTCTTTTTCTGTTACCTATTTTGGAATTTCTATCAACATTATGTGCACACATTTTTTTTCAAAAGTTTTGTAATATTTTTATGAATTATATTAGTACAGGTACCTTCCACCATCCAAAATAATATAAAGCAAAGAAGTAATTACCATTAATTCATATGGTAATAGTTTTGAACATTCTCAAACCTCAAAATAACCTGACTTGATGTTGAAGGTTTTAATTCATTGTCAACTGTGACTGATATGGAAGGCTTGAAATATGGTATTGCCTCATGAATTTTTCTGTTGTGACAGTTTTTTTTTTTGGAGGTACTCAAAATATATGGTAAACCTGCCCTAAAACTATGTACCCTTTCAAAATTAGTCATACCTTTCTGCTATTGTTTAGTAATTGTAACACCGTCAGTTGTAGTGAAAATCTCAGGCTTATTTTCCTGGCTCTGTCATGCATAAACAGGCTTTCAAAGATAGAGATGTCAGTCCAAGCCTTGATGCTTGGCACTTACTCATTTTTTTGATCAGCATTAATGATAGTCTGAGTAATTGCAATGAAAAGCAACTGAAATTAAGATAAAAGAAATAAATGTGAAAATTTAAAATGATTGATAGTTCTTCATCTAATAATATGTAAAATTTTTATAATTGTCACCACATTTGGTATGTTAGTATCCTATTTATTAGGATTCAATTTTTTTTCAGGGGTGGGGGTTTGCTTTATAATGAGACTTTGGTTATAACATGTAATTAAATAGATTTTGTAATTCTACTTAAATCTGTTTGGTTATGACACTTTCTCTCTTCTGTTTCAGATGTGTGGACCTTGGACTTTTTGCTCAAGTCTGACATCCTCCGTGTTGTGTGGTGTGCTGTCTCCAACAAGCCTCTTATACTTCGTTGGCTCTTCTTTATCAGTAAGTAATTTAGTGTTGGCCTCCTTTTTCTTGATTCACTGTACCTGATGAGACTTTCAAAACAGAATGTTTCAGTTGGCACTTTCTGTTTTTTCTAATTTCAGTTATTTCCTTACATTTTTAGTTATATTGATAGTTATATGTGTTGATCCAATGTAAATATTTAGAAGCATTTGGCATTTACATCTTTTACTCATTTCATTTTCATATTGGATAAGTCAAACACAAGTAAAACAAAAAAAAAAAATAAAAAGCTGTTAATGAAAAAAACTGGAGTAAAGCAAAGTGCAAGAGAAAAGCTTATTTAGTATTTTCTATTTTTATATATTTGATTCGCATGATAAAGAATTGACAATAAATATTAATTCTTTATGGCAAATATTTATTTGACAAGTTTCATCTAACTGAAATTAATAATAAAAGATACACATTTTAGTGATATTTTTTTGAAAATAAATAATGCGTTAAAAAGTAAATTTTTCCACCAAAGAGAAACCAACTTAATTATATTCTTTATATAATTATTTCTTTTCTCTCAATCATTAATTAATTCTTTGTACCCCACCACCATTATTACCACTACAGGTGTTACAATGTATGCCCATCAATCAACAAGGTTGAAGTTTCAGTTTTAAAGCAATCATCATTCCAACATGAGAAAACAAAGACAAAAGAAAAGACAAGTTGTTCATGTAACTTAGGATATCATATGCATGTTTTATTAAACAAATACATTTATTAACTTTAATGATTCCACAGACACAGTAATTACTAAGAGTATAAATAGTGCTATCTTTGATGGCATATAAGACCCCCAACTTTTTTGTACCATTTATATTTAATGCTACAGTTTTATGTAGTTAGACTAACTACTAATACTCATAGTCTGTAGCATTAGTATACCAGTTACCTCATTTTAGAATAAAAACCCAGGAGATATTTTTAGGGAAAAAATTTATTTACATTATTTATATTGTTTGGACTGTTACCCTCATCTTTATTGCCATATTTGGTGGGGTGTCTAACATACCATCAGATAATGACTTGTGAAGAAATATCATGTCTGTAATATTAATAATTCAAATATTTTAAAAAATTGATTCATTCTAATGATTCTATGGAAATGAAGAGTTCTCATTCCAACCACCTTGCTAAAATCTGTATTCTGATGTTTAGTTATTGAAATACTGATTTTTGGTGAGTGGGTTGGGCTGGGAACTTTTCAGCACACTACCTCATACATCTATAGTGACACAGCAAATAACATAAATAAGAATTAAACAAGTGCCAACATTTCCATAAAAATGGGAATAAATTTGACAAATATGGATTAGAAAATTGAATATTTCATACTTATCTACATTTTGTTAGAAACTCAAGCAAAATGAAAATTTCCAAAGCATGCCTTGAAGGTAGAAAGGGTACATTTGGATTTCCTCAGGAAAAAAAAAACTTTGTATTAATCCAAAATTGATTAGTATTGGTCTTGATGCAAGAAAATACAGATCACAAAATGAGAAATGAATAAAAATCACCCTAGAAACATTAGTGCTTAAAAGTGGAATTTAATGAGTTAACAACTAAATCTTATAATTTTGGACCCAAAATTTGTTTGTTGCAATTTTAAAATTTAGAAGTATATGTATTGTTAGCAGTCGGACATAAATCTATTAACTGTGAATAGCAGAAATGGTGTCATTTTACTTCTCTGGATCAATTACAAATGACAGTTAATAGGTTAATGCAAGTATTACTAACAGAATAGGACTTAAAATATATATATATATATATATATAATATATTTTATTTTGTTTGGCATGTGAAACTCTTCCAGACATTTTCCACCAGAATATTTTACAGTGTATGTATTGGAGGCCAAATTCATTTTATATGTAAACTGTAAGAACAGTTTGAATAGAAGGTTGAAACATGTCTGCTGTCTCAAAACCACAATTTCTTTAAAGAGTCCCCAAGAGGTACATGATTTCTGCTGGAAGACAAATTGTGTTCCTTGTTTTTTTCTTTGATGAAAAATAGGATCATGAGGCAATTAATGTCTGTACACTTTCTACTAAATAAATGGTTTGCTTTTAACTGTGAACTTCTCTTGTTTGTTGTAAAAATATCAGTCAAAAAAATCTCTTATAAATAAATTCTTTAGTCATCACATTTTCCTTACACCTTGAGAAAAACTGAACTCTGTTAAACTATACACAGTCTTTATTGTACAAGAATTGAAATCTTACCTGGTTTGGCTTTTCAGCTTCATTCAAGAAATTATCATCACATTTTACCTTCCAATTTATGGGTGTGTGGCTTAATGGTTAGACATGGTTTCAAATCTAACCATGGTTGATTTCTCAAAGAAGTGACTTATTGATAATACTGACCTGGGGAAATGATCCCAGCATGCTGTAGCACTGTTGGGAAGTGTCTGAAAACCATATTGCAGGATGACTTATGGGGGAAATTGAGTAAACGAATCAGTTTGAAAGTTGTTGATGTTTGTGCTAGCACATCACACAAATCATCACAACTGAGGGCTTCAACATACTGGCTTTGTTCAATGACTGACCATACCAGATTATGTGCTCTCTTGTGAAACTGTAAGGAAGTTCTGCTCACTATAGTTGCAGCATAAACCACAGGTTGGCTCTGTGAGTGATGAAGAAAAGAAAATGTGTCTGAGCCATTGTCTACATCAAGGATTACCTAGCACCCCTATCAGATAGGCATGCTCGGATATATGCAACCAATTGCTTTCTGATTTCTGAACATTGAAAATATATTTTCATCAAAAGAATCTCTAAAACCTTTACTCAAGATGTTTTCTGTTTCTATCTCTTTTTTTTACCCATGGAGTTGATGTGCTGGTAAAATAACCTGCCTCAATCTATTTCTTTTCAAGAATTTAATCTTTATTAAAGGCACCTTTAAAATTTTACAAAATCTAGTTGCTGATTAATATTACTTAAATCTCTTATCAAACATATCTGACAATATATTGACTGGACTAACTACAAACAATTGATTTTAAGTAAAATTCTTCTTAAAAAGTTTACCACTATTAACTCTCAGAATCTTTACCATAAGTAATCTTCAAACTTAATTATCCTAAATCAGGAGAAACACTTAAATTCATTTTTTAAAAATTTTGGTTTGTCCATGATATAAAACAAAAAGGAACTTTGAAAAATGTGGATCCTTGTTGGTTGACTACCATTGGTTTGTTTGAGAACTTGGATCAAATTACTGTCACCTGAGTTTCTTACATGTCTTAGCTCTTTTAGAAACACAAATTGTTTGGACAAGTATCCCCCCCCACTTTTGTTCTCATTATCACAGGATTTCAACAGTTGCTTTTCTTTACTCTTCAATATAGAAATATTTTATTTGGTCACCTTTCTGTTTAACTCAGTATTTTTATCAACTTCACAATATAAACACCTTGATCTGTGAACCAAAGTTGATCTTGATTGACAAAGTAAAATATATCCAAAAATCTACTGGCCAAAATATTGCATTAGAAACTGACAGCTAGAATCACTGTTTATTCACTGTTACATCCTTGTAAAAAAAACTGCTTTCTTTATTCTTATATCTGCCATTTTTATTTATTTTTGCAGTGTCTGTACATAAGGAAATGGCTGTGTCTGAATCATGTTGCAAAGTGATATTAAATGCCATTCAACTGCAACGATCTGCTTCCCGAACTAGAAATACATGGGCTCCTGAAATGGCTGACATCTTACGTGTCTTTATCAATTATGGTCAGTCCCAACATTGCATTTTTAATGATGTAGCTTGGACATCGTTTTCTTAATACTTTTTCATATGAGAAAACCACCTTACCACCTTGTTCTGCATGGCAATAACCAACATCAGATTGTTTGATTTGAATTTTATTAATTATTTATTTTATTAGATTATGGTTTTCCTTGTTAGATTGTATTAATATTTACAGTACTTACCCACTGCAGATTTTTCAAGCATGCCCAAGTACAGGCTAATTGCACTCTCCAGTAAAGTAGTGGGTTTTCATGATGAGTTGCTGTGAAATTACTAATACTGCACTTATTCTGCCATTGAGCTTCTATGAATTGTCATTATGATAGCTGTTTCTAGAGATGCTTTACTTCTTTCTATCAAGTATGACTGTATCAATATTTGATATTTACCAAGCTTAGCTTAGTCCACAACACCCTATCCTTTATAGCTCTAAGCAATGTTTGACCCTTTACTACTCTTTCCTGTTCGTGTTCTGCCATCCATTTGCACAACTCTTTAGGTAGGTTTCTATTTCCCTCTGTTCTCCGCATACCTTCAGTATGTCTTGGGAGTATCAAATTCAACTATTTCTTTCTAATTCTAAGCATGTGTCATCTTTGTTCCCATTTTCCTTAAGCTTCCTTACGTTCTATCCATAGTATTCTTTGCATTCTATTTTTGAACCACATCTCTATTGTTTCAAGTCTTCTATTCATGTGAGGAAATTGTTCAATATTCATTGTCATATAGGAGGATTGATATTACATGATAGTTCAATAATCTTTTTTTTTTGTTTCTAATAAAATTTTCCTATCTTTTAATATTTAATTTTAGGAAGGTATCATTCACTATGCCAATGAACCTCCAGATTTCTATGTTCTATTTGTTCCCTCATCTGTTCTCACACTTTTCAGATAAGTTTCTGTACTTGCATGATTCTGATATCTTCAATTTGTAACTCATATTTTGGGCTGCCTCTCTTGCTAATAACCATATATTTTGTTTTCTTACAGTTGATGGTTAGTCCTTTCTACTTGCTTTCCTTTACTACCTTATATAGAAATAAGGAGTAAAAAGATTGTGTTTGGCCAATCTTCCAACTGGAGAAATGACTAACTGCTTTGAAAATCAGTATTTGAGATCCTGTCTTTTACTTGGGGTGAAACCCTGGCATAAATTGCAAATATACACTTATAATATACACCCAACAATGCTACAGGTGTTGCCTGAGTTTCATAAATTGCTCAGACTAGAATTGTCACAATGAGCTGTAAGCAGTGAATAGGGCTATGTTTAAAAGTTCAGTGCTATTAAATTTTGAATTGACATTCTTCTCATTAGCCCAAGGTTTCCCAGTTTATTTTTGAAAACAGCTCAAAATGTCACAAGTAGCAAAATCAAGATTTTGTTGTGCCAGGCTTTCAAAAGTAGCTCTATCAGAAACATTGATTCAATCTTCTATCATCTCCCATTATTTTTGTTTTATTGCTTTGTCTTAGTTCCTATGCCCTTGAACCAGGTCTTCACTTAAAGTTCTAATAATAAGTGTTCTCATGTTGTCATGGATGAGTATCTTTATCACTGGTGTTCTGATCATGCTGTGTAATTTCCTGACTTGCAAGTATTGTGTGAAGTTTCATGAAGGATTCTCATTATTACATTAATTATTATTATTATGTTCCCCTGACATTAATTATTCCAACTAGTTTTTATTATTTTGATCACAACCTTTCAACCAGTGCATTCTCTGGTTTTCTTCAGGAATTTAAATGCAGGATGAATCTTTGCTGATGTGATTTGCTTTAATCAGGGTGAAGATAAAAGTTAACTCTCAAAAAATACATTTTGGGAGAAACGTAACTCTGTTCAAAGATTACTAAATGTGATATATTCTTGAAGTTTTGCAAATGCACTTGCCAAATGTCATCAAAGCAAGAAAGATAAAGACACCAGTACAAGTAATTCATTTTTACATTTAACTTGGTGTGCAATAAAAGTAGCATTTTATTCTGACATTTTTTATTTAAATGTTATTTTTTCTTTGTTTATTTTTAGGGGCTTCTTTAGAAGATCTTGTACCTCAAAGAAACTTGTTAAAGGCAGAAGACCTAAGGTAAACTTTTCTGTTGTAACTGTAAGTAATGTTTAAGGAAAATCTTTTATATTACTGTGATACCTCCAGTGAGCTGTCAACAGAGATGTTTAATATGAAATACTTAATCTCCTTGCCATGGATACAAATTACCATGTCTATTGATTCATTTACTGATAGATGGAACTACTCACGTCTTTCATTTAATTTAATTTAATGTTTTGTTACAATCCTCAAATTGATGGTAGCATAATCTGACTTTTAGTGTAACCAAAGAAAAGAAGATAATAATTTCAAAGTTGGTAATTATAGGTTTCATGGCACCCCTTTTGCCACATGCAATTCAACTGATTATAGGTGATATTCTATTTTTATGGTGATATAGTTTAATATCAATCATAAACTTTCAGAAAATTTATTATTTGTTGGAGTACTTCCTACCATTTTTGAACCTGCTTAACAAAGGGAAAAATGCCAAATTTTATCCCCAGAAATTCATAAACTAAGAGGTTTTTATAAATAAAAGATGAAGGTAATTTTGAAAAATTTTGAGATAGATCTTAACACATTGACTACTGCCCACAAGATAACTTGTATTTGGCAGTTTTTTTTTATGATGCCAGCTATGAGTAATCTTGTGCCAACTACAAGTTTATTTGAATTGATATTTTTTGTGTGAAAACAATGGTAAAACTTCAGTTGAAGCTATAAATCAATTCCTATAAAAAAATTTATTGCCTAAGTTGGCTATTGTAAAGTTAGAATTTAAAGTCAGATTTGGTAATTGACCTCTGACAGTCAACATGTTAATAAACAGGAATTTTACCCTGGGGAGAGTGCTGACAAGTACTTGGTCTTACTCAATAATGGCATCCCAAATTTCCAGGAATCAGTTCTATAAAGGCAGGTAATCTTTAGGAAGCTATTCTGCTTATTTTCTTTTCAGTTTGAGAATGGAAAGAAACCACATTATAGTATCAAAAAGATTTAAACCATTTTGATAATAGAAAACATTTATTTATTAAGATATTTTCAGTTCAGAAGTATGATGCTTTTTGACTCTAGTGTCAGCAGCCAGATTCAAGTTGAATCACTGCAGTCCCAAAGATCTTTCTCTTCCACCTATTTTTTCTACACACCTACCATTGTCTATGTCTTTTTACTTTTTCTACTTTTTTCTTCTTTACTGACTGCAGATTATTGTTCTTGTGTGTCTATTAGAGTTTCACTAGCTGCACATGCAAGCATAGCTTAACTAACATTTCATTGAAACCATTGGTCAATAATATATAATATTATTTTTAGATAAGCCAACAATCTGTTCGCTAAGCTTTTATAATTTTTAGAATCAGTTTGCTCAAACAGTAGGATGCCACCACTGGGCTTAGCCAATTCCTACAATTTAGACAAATGATCAAACAATTTTTTTTAAACCACTTAAGGAAGTTTTTGTTTCCAAGTCATTTTAGTTTGTGGCTGGTGCCACAGGCATGGAGTGCCTTTGCCTTTCCTTGAAAGCCACCATATTGATGCTCTTGATATGTCTGAAAGAGAAATGAGAATGTTAAAATTTGGTACATGTTGCAGAATATCATGAGATCATTTGATATTTATGACCTGTTTTCAGATACCTGATGCCCTATATATAAAATTTAATACACAATACCACAAAAATACATTAGTAGACTGCTAACCCTTCATTAGAGGATGAATTGAGCTAGGCTTGACTGAAACCTCATTACCATATCCCAGAGGACCTTACAATACAACCAGACTATGTTGATTTTCCATCACAGTGTGGGAATGTACAAAGAAAATGCACCTTCAATGTATTTCTTGTATTCTTAAATTTCCAGTTAATGTACCTGAGCCCATAAATGGAACATTAATTCTATGCCATAAAAATTGAATTAACTGACTAAATGACAGCCAAGAAAATAAACAGTTAATGTGATTGTAAACTGAAAAGTTGAGGCTGCATTTTACATTATCCAATCTGCATTCTTCATTTGTTTTTTAAAAACCTGGTAGCTCATCTTGACAAAAGGTATCATGAATACCAAAATATTTTCCTGACACTGATTATCTTCAGTTGATTCACAATCTATATCCAAGATTTCTGCCATCATCAACACAGGCAACCAATTTTAGTGAGATGACTCAATGCTCTTTTTTGACATGACGATCTTGTTTGTCCTCCCCTATCAACACGTCATAGAAGTCTATTGCATTTGTTTGTGATAATGAATATTGAATAAGAATAAATAAATAACATGTGGTGGAATCTTTAAGTTTTCAGTACAAAAGAATTAATAAAAAAAGACATTCAAATAAAAGTAGGCTGTACTTTTTTCTGAAGATAGAAAGTAGGTGGTCACTGGGTGCACATTCAAGGTCAGTAAGTTTTTTACCTGACATGCATTGTTTGCTTTTATCATTTTAAACAGTTCAGTGGGTTTTAATAAATATATTACTACAGGTTACTTCACTGTTTATCATAACTCTTTTTGAAGAGTTCATTCAAATAGTTTATTGTGAAACCCTTGTGTATTGTTTATGAAAGAATCATAGATAAATATTTATTGAATTTCAATCATATTATTTTTTCTAATTATTCAGATGTGCAGAAGTGCCCGTGAATGACAAACAGAAACCCAGTAACCCTGTCAATCATTCTGTAAATGATACTTCACAGACAACTGAGAAACAGGAACCTGACTCTAATCCTGATGCACCCACCCCAGAACCTCATTACAAGATCTCTAATTTAGTCAATGTCCTGTCAGTTTTGGCCTTTGCTGTTGAATCAAGGTAAGCTGTCTTCACCAAACATTAATTATAAAGCATTCATATTGTTCTAAGTACTGCTTTATTTAAAATAATTCAATAATTAAAATAGTGGTATTATATATATATATATATATATAGTAATGATACAATATGGTAATCTGTATGTAATTTCCAGGAGGATATAGATCCAGGGACAAAGATTATGTTAAAAGACTGAGAAAAATTATTAACTAAAGAATATCACTTAAAATCCCATAGGTAATAATTTTTATTTTATGAGAGCTCTAAAAAAAAAAAGCAGCTCTCAATCTTCAAGGCCTACAAACAAATCATAAATGAAATGGAAAAAAATATACTCTGAGTTAAAATCAAAAGATATTGCTATCTTATTTAGAGAGTGAGAAAAGACAGAGTGGTGATCTATCTTGATATACTGACTTCAGTATGTTATTTGAGGATGGCGGAAGGGTTTAACGTGTAGTTAGTTCAGTGTGAATTGGAAACAATCTCGTCTGGTTCTGTTAACGGCCAAATTTCAATGCTGATATATTTCATTCAACTAATTATTTGTAAATAACATTAAAAGAGAACATTTTTAAAGATTTTGAAATTAGCAAAAAAATTTTCATAGTCTTAGTCTATCAGCGTTAGGTAGTGCTGGCCCCCAAAATGGGTCACATTCATTCCCACTCTGCTCCAATTGTTGCATACAGAAAGCCTGCCTGGCTTCCAATGCACCAGGGCAGGATCTATGGATTGACATTCCCTACAATCCCTGCCTACTGCCTGAACAGCCACTCTGGAAACTGGGGATGACCAATTTTGCAAAGTACAATGTACACTTTACACCGGGGTGTCCACTAGACTGATGAATGGCTTGTATATGAGCAGACTCCTTGCCTTCTGCAAGCACAGCACGTGCTTGTTCTACAGGTTCCATCTCATTCTGAATATCATCTAGCCATCGTTGCAGCACTATAGTGAGCTGATCAGCCCAGTTATCATGAGACTTAACCAATGCCACGTCAATCTTCAGCTCATATTCTGAGGCCAGATGCCAAAGCGTGCCAAGCCGGCGCCTGACCAGCATCACAGTGGCAGCCTTGGTTTGTACCCTTGACTTTCCAGATAACGTGTCTGAGACCCAGCAATGTACGCACACCAAGTCAGTCTTCAGGTGAATCACCTTTGCAGTGTGAGGCTGATGCCCCGCAGCACTGCGTCGAATTCTGCCAAATTGATATGCTCATCCTCACTCATTGGTCGCTGCCAACTAGCATCTTCAGCAACAGCTCCACCATTCCACTGCTCTCAATGACAACACCAGTGACTAAAGAGTTCGTGTTCACCCATACAGTGACATCCTGTCTGTCAACGCACCAGTCCCCATGCACTGGATCTGTTTGCACCACTCTGGCAAAAACGTCTGCCAACATCCAGCTCAGGAGGGGCTCTCATACTTTATCGTCCCATGCAGTTGTCACGGTATTTGCTCTATGCTTTATGAACGCAGTTGCAACACGTAGCCAACCGCACACCGGAAAATGTCCCGTCAATTTCCCACACACAGAGAAAATATTTTGATGTGTTAGTACATTGGGCAATGTCGGCAGCTTACTTCCATGACTCCACTGAAGCTTGTTGCGCTCCCCACCAGACATGCAATCCTAACAAACATGTGCTGCTCCATAACTGCTCTGGGGCCTTGCATGTAAGCCCAAACCTCTCAAGATGGTCTTTTATGTGGGATGCAGGACATATGTTCTCATTGACGAATACATCGTCAATGTATGAAGATGTAGCTTCGTTGATGTTCTCATCTTGCACAACCATGGTGTTAACGATGGACTGCATTATCAGGGGTGCTATGTTAAGCCCAAACCCCAAGCAAGTGAGGCAGTATCTTTTTCTCTTGATTTTTACTGTCTAGAATAGCCACAAGGACTTCTAAATGTGAACTTGCAAATAGGCCTGGTGCAAGTCCAACACAGCGATGTCTGAAACTTGCTGTCGCCACACTCTCATTTTGTCGGTGCATCAACTCCCTTCACCTGACAACACGATTATCGTGCAGCTACTGCCACTTGCTCAATATCTGCAGGACTTTTCTTCAGTATGGTTGCATGCTCGAGTTAGCACTTGTGAAATGTCCATCTAACTGGAAAGAGGCTCGGAGAATTTCCCCAGCATGCTTTGGCAACCCGGCAATAAATGCACACAACAGACAAGCAGTGTGTTACAAATTGCTTCCAAACTGTAAAGAAGTCCAGAGCAAATGCCGTATACAAAGCATTTTTGATGCAGGTAAAGTCTTTCTTCTTTTCTTCGCTCAGCTGCTGGTACACTGCATATGCACCACCTGAGAGACACAAAGGAACCACACATTCAATACGCTTTACGCCGCTAAGCTAGCATATCAATTCTGCCTTCTCTATCCACACGATAACTGACTGTCCAGAATCACTTCCATTAAATAGCAGTATCAGTTTAGGATCAAAAGCTATAATTGCCAAAATAACTTGTAGCCGTCACATCAAAAAGGACCTGCTGGAACAGGGCAGTCATCTCTTGTCCTCGGTGGCTCCCTCGGCCCCAACTGCCAAAGCCTTCAGACACACTCATTTTATAGACCATGACGAAGCAGCCAATTGGTTGAGTGGGAGAGTTTTACATATGCGTAGATGCACTCCACCACCAATACCACCCCCACCAACTGTCACCACTCTAATTACAGTTTGCCATTGTCATTGCCCCCAATAATCTAATTATTATTTCAGTCTTACTGTTCATTTACTTAATATTGTAATTATCATATCTTCCTTACTATTTATCTGCATTTCTCTCAACATTGCAATTATTATTTCATTCCCACAATTTCACCACCACCATAATTACTATCACCACATTAGTCTACAATTATACTTCCCTCCCCTATCAAAATTAATACCAATCTTCTGCATATATAACAATAAGTATTATAAATTAGAATTTTTAATATTTATATAAGTGCAATTGTCCACAACAAGCAAATGACCAACATTAAAAATAATAACAAAAATATCTATCATAGTCTTACATAGACCTCATCTTAAGTAATGCAATAAAACCCAGATGAGTAGAAGGCATGTGCATACGTATAAGTGTGTATGAGAAAACATTACTCCATGAACAAAATAGATGAACGATCTAGAAGTTGACACCAACTCCCCAGCCCACCACTTGTGGAGAAAATTCGCTACACAATTTACAACATTGAATACAGCAGCCAATTGTGTACATATGCACACGATATATATATATATATATAATTGTTAAAAATGCAGAATAACAGCCCTTTGCATGAGCATAAAATAAAAGATGAGAAATTAAAATGGGCACATTATATTATTTTAATTTTAAAACAGGTACATTTCATTAATTATTTTAATTATGGCAACAAACATAACTTGAAATTTTTTTCTGAATAAATATTCACAAATGTTCTCCTATTGGTGAGGAATTCTGTATGTGCTTTTCTCATTTAAAAACCCCCTGAGATGGAGCCAGGAGTTCTCAAAAATGAAATTTTCTTTATGGTTAATGTCTTCATGATTATATCCAATTTTATCTGTCTTATGCTCTCCAATCAACTTACAGGCATTTATAATAATAATTGCTTAAGAGAGATAAAATAATGACTGATAAAAGAAAAACCCAAATACAAAACAAAAATTAAAACAATGTCATCAGCTTTCTGACATTAGCAAATATTGAATGTTTTGATGTTTTCAAAACCAGTATATAAGTAAATTGGAAATAAAATTCTCTAATTGAAATTGATTGCTGCATAAATTAAAAAAATAAAATGGTATGGGTTTTTTCATGTGTTTTTCTCTATATAATGGCAATACAATTTCTGATCCCCTGTATGTACAGGGGACCATTATTCTGCATTCTTCCCTAATAATTGACTGGTTGACAGTCAAAATATATGTACCAATAAAGTAATTATATCCCATGTAGATAATGTAAATTAAACAGTTATACTAATCTTCACCTATGATTGGTCATTGCAGAAACTTTAGTTTAAACTTCTGTCTCAACCTGTATGGTTAAATATTCTGTGTTCTCTGTATTTTGTTGCCTCATATTTTCAGTGTTCTCTGTATTTTGTGACTTTCTATGTGTCAATTCCTCTTACTGTTCATGATATATACTTGTAGGTTATTGATATTTTGATTAATGAATATGTATTGATCTACTCCAAGTATAATTTTATAGAATTTTTTTCATCCTTTATGCTGTAAAGATTTTGATGAACAAGAATTCTATAATTATAAATTAAATTTTCTCTTTTTCTGTTCAATTTAATTTAATTTTTGAGAATATCTACCAAATGTATGATATACTGTTGTGATAAACTTCAATAATTTCTACATAGTAATAGCTTGGGTCTAATAAAGTTTTTGAAACTATTTGTAATCTGTAATCTCCTTGTTTATTTTGCTGATGCCTAAGTTTCTAACAGTTTTTGACAAAAATTTTCTTTATGTAAATTTATAGCATCATCATACCTCCTTTTTTATGACCTTAAGCTATTCTTCAAGTAAATTTTGTATTTCATGAAGAAAAGAACAATTCTTGTTTTAACTCAATGAATTCTTCAATATCTTGAACTTGTTGGAACTGCTGATCATACAAAGAGTATTGGAGCAAAAGAAGTATTAGGTGTGTGCAAAAGTTCCCAGTGCTCTTTTTTTGAAAACTAAAGACGACGGACAATTGAAAACTGGTTGTTTACAAGAAAGTGTTCCACACATTAATTGTCTGAAAAATACTGCACATGTTTGTTTGCTGCCTCATATTCATAACTTGAGGATGAGCATTGTCATCCAGAAAAAATCACCAGTCAACTTCTTTGCCAAGAAATAGGTCTTTTCTATTTCAATGCACAATTCAAACAAGTCAATTCTTCACTTTAGTGTTACACAATGACAGATTGTTCAGTTTTCATCAATTTATAATAAATAATTCCCTATGAATCTAATTGAATGCAAAGAAATTTTATCAGCTTTAATTTGAGCTGTCCTGTATTGAGACATGATTTTTTTTCCTCCTTTTGGATTCCCAAAATAAATTCATTTTTTATCACCAGCAGTTTTTACAAAAATTCCTTTTTTTTCTGTGCTCTAAAATGCTGACCAATGTTTGTTTCCTGAAGTTCATATTAAGCCCATTTTCCTAGCTTCAGAATTTTTTATAAGGCTTATAAATGATGTACTGCAGTTGATTGACATTACAAATAATAATGGACTGAGTAAATTACAAAGACACTTCTGAGATTTCTTTAACACTTTACAAAAGATGGTGCTGGAAAATTCAGCATGAACCTATTTTTCAGTAGCTTACTTTGTCTATATTAAAAACTGTTTGTTTATTGTTATATTAACTTTATATTTTTTTATGCTTTGTACAGGCCACCATACACACCTGACCAGCTAACTGCTCTCTTTTTGATGCTTTGTAAAATTAGAATGGATATTGGCATAGCAACGTAAGTAAAAGTTTTCCCTTTTTTCTGAATCACTAACAAATATAAATTAAAGCTGGCAGGTGGGATCAAATATGCATAGAAACACCACAGCATCATTCTGTGTATCACTGTTGATAAAGTAGACGAGAGAGTTGGTGTTGCCAGAATTATGATAATTGGTATACTGAGACTTAAAGGATGTGGTTTCTGGAAAAGGTGTCTTTTATTGGATTCTGAATTCTTAAACTTTGCTTTTGAACTTGTGTGATATTTCTCAACCAGGATGACATTGTTTTGATCATTCATCCATGCTAAATCTTTCACTCACATAATGTTCACCCAGAATATTGCAACCTACACTTTAATCTTTGCATTACTGTTTTAAATTTATTTATTATATATATATATATATATATATATATATATATTTCCAAGAGGATAAAATCCAGTTAGCACTCACTGTCAAAGACAGAGCAAGAATATAATATAAAAGGCTCAAATACTAATATTTCATGGTTATAATTTATTATATTGTAATCACGACCCAATTCATCAGGTCTACAAATTCAAAAAGGAAACAGAAAATATATCTCCAGGTTTAGAAACAAAATTTCAGTGACAGTGTGTATGTGGAAGTGAGAAACAAGGGTGAGAGGAAAATGTATGAAAGATCTAGAGAGAGGTGTAAAGAAAGATAAAGAATAGGAAAGGGCCTAAAGTGAGAGTGAGGAATGAAATTTTAAAGAGAGAAGTTAAATAACGGTTTTAAGGAGTGAGATACTGATAAATACAAGTTATTGTCATTTGCATAAATCGACTTCCAATTCATTGACCTAAATTAAAAAAGCAGACACTGGAAAAGTATGGATACATTTGTGATAGTATTAGATACAATAAATGAGGGAAATCATTAGATAATCCAAATTTAATGTCTAGACTAATTTACGATGCCGATGTAAATATGAAAATTTATCATCTGGTTTGCATTTACTAAACTTATGTATACATGAAAGGAGAAGATGATAGAGAGGAAGAGAGAGACACAAGGAAAAAAGGTTGGGAGGAAAAGAAAGAAAGAAGGAAAGAGAAAAGGTCAAATGTAAACTGGGGCATTTAAAAGAGAAATAATAGGTAATCAAAAACAATTTGAAAAAACATGTAATTTTCCTTTACAAATTTAATATAAACATATAAAAAATATTTAATCCAGTAAAAACACTACTATTTATTTCCACATACACCTATATACACATAAATATACACAATTGTTTTCATTTACAGTCAAAGCAAGGAATCAATTGTTATTTTTACTTTTAGTTTAGTTTAATATTCAGGAAGTACTGAACATAAAGAAGAAAAAAATTATGTAAACAAATGATTAACAGTTAATCATATTTTATCTACAATATTTTCTTCTTAAGGAATAATTCATTCAGCATATTTATGTAAGTACTTAATAATAATCAAAAACATTGTATATTCATAATTGCAAAAATATGTGAAATTAAAAACATTCCTTTTTTGTAAAAAAAAATGATCATTAAAATCAAAGTTGCCAATTTAGTGCTACCTTTTTTTCAATACATTTAGCTCCTGTAAATCAGCATCTAATTCTTTTTCTTATTAATAACTATTATTTCATAGATAAGAAACAGCTAGATCTAACACTAACACTAAAAGGATAATTTGGCCACTCTGATTAAAATACTTGAGTAGCAAAACTGACTTCTTGATTTTTTTTCAGTTAATGATACCTTCCAAGATCCCAGTGTCTGCTGGTGTCAGCAGCATTTGGGATAATTACTTCTCTAGTTGTTAAAATCAAATTTGATTTTCTTTTACTAAATATCTGCATCCCCTGTCTAAGGTATCTCCTAGATTGGTTACTGATCATGGCTAAAGAGTTCAGTCTGTCCAGCTATTAGGAGTAGATAGGTTCACCTATTGCCTAGCTCACACTCATTCCCCATTTTGAACAGAAATAGAGATTGTTTCCTGTCTCGGATTGGGTTTCCAGTTCCTTCTAAAGTTTTCTCATTTCTCTTTCACTCCCGGTAACCCCTTGCATTTTAATGGCGTTATCATTTTGCTTGGGATAAAATGATTAAAAAAAACATAGCTGTGGGAAGAAGGGCTGTGTTTATAACTTTCCCCAGGCTGTTTGTGTGAAAGTGAATGTAATGAACTTGACTAAAATTTGATTTTTAATTAAATGGAATATAAAAAGTTCATTAATGTCAGTTCATGTTCTTAAAATTAAGAAATTCTTGCTAAATTTTGTTTCTACAGACGTTCGATGGTGTACAAAATTCAGGCTGTACTCTCCCGGATCATACAAAAATATACAGAGTCAGAATGGCCTCAAAAGGTGAGTTCAGAATTATCCTGTTATTTATCCTGTTACTGCTCACTCACCTAAAATTATGGCTCGTCTTAAATTGGGAAATGCTCTTTGCTACAATAAATTATATTTTCTCTCAGTGTAACAAGAGCAGTAGAAGTTCAGAAACTATTGCATTATGTTTTCAAATTTATCTATCAAAAGATTGTTTAGATCAAATGCCCAACCTTTTGTACACATTTTCACTCAAAATGATTTTTAAAATTTGCTTATTATCAACCACAGCACCCATTTCCTTATCAAATATTTATTACTTAAAAAAGCATATTTTTCAAAATTACTTTCATATTACTTTATCTTGGAAAATAAGCTGATGGACACAGTGTATATGTGTGATATATAAGGTTGAGGCAAAAAATTTTAGTATATTTTGACAAAATCTTGTATTTATATAAATTCATAGCATCATTATTCAGTCATCAAAGTATTTTGCTTGTCTGTATCCACCTTTCAGATAAATTGTGTCTTCTATCGTAAAAGAACAATTCCTATTTTGATTTAATGAATTATTCCAGTCATTGAATCAAAAACTGAAATTGTTGTGAGTGCTGATCAGTCAAAGTGTATTGTGAGGAATTAAATAAGTGATAATCTGAAAATATATCAAAGTCCAAAGACTACATCACCTGTGCAAGAATTTCCCATTTAAATATAGCAAACTCTTCTGTAGTAGGATATATTTTGATAATTAAACTCACTTCTCCAGTAATGATCCACTGACATACTATAGATAAATGTGTTTACCTTGAAAACATCTACCTACTTAATATTAATGAAAAAGTAACTTATCTATTACAATAACACTTTAGTCCCATTCAGACTAGTCCCCTTGGAGCTTAACGCATTTATGATTGCTTCCCTACCACTTTCCATAACAATTTGCAAAGTCACACTCACTCACTCATTATCGGGTTTATCATCTTTCCTTGATAAAATGGTTGCATGTTTTGGAAACTGATTTCACTGTCCTCACTGTCAAGAGCCATGTCTCTTTTCAACTTTCTTGAGGTTATTGTTGATGCCTTTCCAAGTTTTCTTCAACCATGACTTCTTTCAATGATCAGCACAGTGCATGAATTGCTTTGCTGTACATGTTTTGACCATCATAGTCGTAGGGTTGTTAGCAACATATCTAGAGGCAGAATTCCCAGGAATTCATACAATGATGCCATGCTAACTCTGACAGGACTTCTACTTGATCTTAAAAAGATCATTTTGTACTCAGTGAAACTTGTTATCAGCACACATAACCCAAGATTTACTAGTATAGGTCAAGACTCTACAAACACAGGATTTGTAAACATTGCCTGGAGTACAACAAGTGATGTAACTGTCCTTCAGTGTGGGCAACAGCTCTCTAAACTACCCACAAGCTGCTCTAGATCTAGCAACTGTTTCTAGAATCAGTCATGTCATTCAGATAACTGCCTCTATCATTAGCTACTTCATAAAGTTGTCTATGAGCTTGTCAGTGGTCTGAAATCTCTCATTGATTTTTAGCTATGGTAAAGGCCAGAAATTAATGGGATGTGCATTATCATAGTGAACACAAGTCACACAGTAAACAAATTCTCAATCAATGGCATCACATTGCTGACTGAGTAACCTTACAGGGGAGTGTTTACACATGTAGAATAGGTTCACTCTTTGGGTTAGTTTTCAAGTGAGATTGATGCAATGCAACTGATTTTCAAATGGCTGGATACTTTCCAGACAGACCTCATTCACACTTTTCCATTTTTTTATCTTGTGCATTTTAATCTTTCCTTGTAGTTGATGTATCTTTCTAGTCAATTGTCTATGCTGATCTCCCACCACCACAATATGCTGTTCCTCACAGAGACGCTACCACACTGTGTTCGAAGTATTCAACTGAGACGACGCCTTGCTACTCTTCAACTGTATGTAACAGTTGGATTGGATGTCTCTGAAATTAACAAATTGCCAGACCTGAAGGTAATGTATTAAATTTATAATTGTATCCTGTTTTTCACAGTGAGACTTTGATGTTACTGACATGGAAATGTTATGGGAAAAACAATACACATAATATTAATGATAGCAAAATAGTATTAAATTGAACCACTAAAAAGAGATAAATAAATTCTCAGTTAATGACAAGCAAATAAGTTTAACTCTTGCCTCAAATTTATAACTATAGAGTTGCCTGTCATATGACAGTGTTTTAATGTTAGGAACATACTGTTGTTATTTTGGGTAATATCAAGTTTTGTCATATTTAGTCATCCATAATTCAGTTGTCTCATGAGATGCTCAAAATCTAAGCATACTTTCACTACACAGGTGTAAGGAAAGGTAAAGATAGAGAATATATTTTGTGCCTTATAAAGCAATGTAACTTGATTTAGATATGAAAAGACTGAGCAAGAAAGACAGATTGAGAACAAACAGAAAGTGAGAAAGATTGGTAAACAAGCTGAATTAGATAGAAGAAAAGAGGGTTTTTGTGCGCAATAAGCATTTCATTCTCTGACTAAAGTTTACTGAATTTTTATAATTAAAATTACAGATGTCTAAAATAAAGATACTTTCTCAAAATTTGTGGTCATTCTTGCCAAACTTTGTTCCTAGGAAACATGTTTCTGTGTAACAAACACATGAACTGGGCTAAAGAGCATAGCAGCCAAAACATCTAAATAACCAAATTACAAAAGTATTAAATTTCCAACTTTGAGATTATATCAAAATGTTTTTCTCTTTCTGTAATTACAACCCATTTTCAAACTGATACTGTTTTATTGTTCTGTTTAGATTTCCTGTCTGACTGACGTTTTCCCTTTCCTAAAAGGCTATGTCCAATCAGAACTCTACAAAATGTATACAGCTATTGACCTCCTAAGCATTGCAGTTGGGGACAGCAGTCTCAATAGTTCAGATCGAGTAAGTGCAGATTTCTTTTTTAATGTTTATTGGGCCCCAAAAGAGCTCATGTCTTAAAACTGTTTGGAAAAGTACTGTTCACATTTTTACATACCAATAGAAACATCTGTTTTATGCCCTTAACAAAACTGCTTTGAGAGTATCAATAAAAACTTTGAGATTGTTCAATGTTTTATTTAATTATAAACAACTGTCCTGGTATTGAAATTGGTGTGACAAATAGTTGTTTCTTTTTTGGTGTTTTTGTTGTTGACTGCATAAACAAATTGCAACTTCTCTTGTTATCAAACTTTTATAAAGAACAGACATGCTTTAAAAGTTACTGTAATACATTCTGCTCGTCATGTGAACAGAAAGAATCATATGGCAGTCATGACCGAAGAACATGTCCCTCATATACAGTAATGTAAGATGAGTAAAGGCAGACACAATATGTTGCAGAATCACATGGCTAAGGACATGTTACCAGGAACTGAGGTGGATTTGATTAGGGAGCACATATATAAAAACAACTATTAAAATTTGTACCAATATTAACACTTAGCTACCTTTTCCTGGCTTTTAAGCACCTAGCATTTTGCAACCCATGCTGTAAAACATAGACAATTTGAGATAAGGAATCCTTATTTCACATCTTTCACTCTGCATTCTACTTTCAAATAAAATGAAGACCCTAACAGGTGATAGCCATACATTCCTAATCCCCACAAATGTCACAAATTTGGTCATCTACAAAATCATTGTACAAGAGCATCAGTCTGTCAAAAATGTGGGGAACTTGAGTCAGTTCATGAAGAGTTACTCTGAAAGGCCTCCTTTATGTCCAAACTGTAAAAATAAGACACTTAGCAAACTCTAAAGAGTGTAATATCTGGAAAAAGGTAAAGGAAATAATAAGAATAAAATACATGCAAAGCATCCCGTTCCAATAAGCCGGAAAACAGGTTGAATCTTATTCACTTCCAACATCATCTGAAAATATTGCTAAAATATCAAATCACCAAAATGACATCTAAGAGAACAATGCAATAAGAAGCCAAGATCTTACAACTCTAAATGAATTAAAAAGTCTAAAATGTAGTATATCACACATAAATCAAACTCCCATAGACAAAACAAATCCTGTCCCATCAACAAAAAAGAATCTATAAATACAAAATGATTAACGCTGAAAATTATAAGCCAAAGTACAAAAATCCTTCAAGAAATAGAACCCTCTAAGCATTCCCAAGAGAATCAAAAGGTGCATAAAAAAATAACACAACCTAGTACATCATTGAAGAACCAAGCAAAATGGACATAGATGAATAAAACTTTATCTTATCTCAAACCAGGGAACAGTCACCATCCAAAACAAAGATCATCAACACAACCTAATGGAAAATCTAAGAAAACAAGATCAAGCAAGCACAAACAAAAGACCTTCAAAGAACAAAACATGACAAGAAACAAAGCGCTAATAGACTGGAGAGCCTAGATACTATGGATGCTTCACCCACTGAACAAATTGTACAAGCAAAAAACTCTTAATACCCGGTGTCAAAACACTATGAAAGTGTAAAAATAGGTTTTAATACCAGCAATACATTTAAAAAAAATATCTTCAGCAATACATTTTTGGAAAAATATTACCAGCAATACATTTTTGAAAAAAAAAAATGATAGATTGTTCTCATTCCGCTGTCTATGTCTAGGAATACCCCATTTTATTGAGTATTTCTCAGTTATTGATTGCAATGTTTCCACTGAGTCTAAGTCTGCACTACCTGGCCCAAGGATTGAACTCACAATTACTATGTCACCAAAGGTTACCCGGATCAACAAGCAAGTGGTGAAGACTGAAGGGCACAATGTCTGAAACATGATAATAACAGCAAGCATGAGGACAACAGTCCAAATGTAATTATGTAAACAATTGTAACTCCTTATTACAAAAATTTCTACAGAAAATCTATTTATATTACATTTGTTTTCATGACCAATTTTTATGATCTTATAAATAAAAATTGTCAATGGAAATTTTCTTTAATTTATCATATGCTTATTTCCTGTAATTGCCAGCCTAAAAGAGACAATTTACACTCCATTAAGTGCTCTGCTATTGTTGATAGGAGGCGAACACTATAAGCTTGAGTTTGAAAATTAGGTTATGTTAAAGTATAAAGTATGATTTTTTTCTTTTCTTTTTTTATGCTCTGGTAAAACAAGCTTAAAGCAGCCATTCATTTTTTTTATTTTGAGTTAGTGACTGAAACTCATTTACTTTTTTTGATTACTGGATTAACCTAGCCTTAATAAATTTATAAAAAAAAAAATTTATGACCTGATATTACAAAAACTGTTTAATCTTTTACAGTGTACTTGGAAATAGTCTTAAAATAGTTTGACAGGTTCCTGCCTGATATTTTTAATGTTATAAAATATTTTTACAGCTAAAAACCAAGCTTTGATTTAGGAAAAACTATTGTGATAGGTGGCCTTCTTTTGTACATATGACAAAATTAGCATTGAAAAAAAGAGATTTTCTTTCCCCAACAACTTTTTATTTAAGTCATTTATAATTTCCATTTCACAGATTCACCTTCTGCTTCAGTTATGTCTGTAGTTTGCATGAAAACTAAATTTGATCTCTGACCTGCATTTGGACAATACTCTGGTGGTAGATCTATGGTTGTTGATTAATTGATTTGTTTTTTACAGTTTATCAACCCTTTGTAGATTATTTAAAGCCAAAACATTTTGGATTGTAAAAATAATTATTTTTTGTGTGTGAATATAGGATTAGCAATTTTTGGAGAATAACAACACTTTTTCAAGATGCATGTCTTAATATTTAGCCCATAGCTAGGAGAGTATATAAAGGCAGATCTATGTTAAAATTCTGTATATCAGTCAGAGGAAAATATGTAATTTAATTTTGATTTTGAATTCTCATCTTCTTTCAAAAAACATTTTAAAAATGATAGGGACAATAGTAAGAATCATTGAATATTGTTTTTCCAGGAGGATTTACATAGACTGATGTCCCATGTGACTCAGTTGTCTGAGATGCTCAGGGACAATGGGCGGATGGTGGCATGCTCAACAGTGAGTGCTTTTTGTCTCTTTCATTATTTTTCATTTTTATTTATTATAATTACAAGCATTTTATTATTTAGATATTAACATTTACCCCCAAATCTATATACAGACACACATGCTAATAATAATAAACTTGTTTCTTTTTCTCTAATGAATAAGATATGTGTAAGATATATGACAAACCATTACTATATGCCATACAAAAAAATATGTAGTCTATAATCATGAAGGTCATACAGCTATAATTATTAAATAAATTCTATCCTATATGTATATATAAATTAATCCAAATTATTGTGATAAGTTATAATAAAATACTTGTAATCCTGTTCTATAATAAATCACGTCCAATGTGTTTTTGAAGTCGGCATTAAGCTATCTTCTGAGTCAGTATAGATAGATATTTTTGAATGCCAGTGGCTAATCTATTCAAATATTCACAGTAGCATGCAGGAGGGGGAGCAGAGGGTGCAACAGCCCTGGGCATCCATATCTGGAGAGGCATTTGGGGTGGGGTCATCCAATTGAAGAGTGAAATAAAAATTTAGTTTGTATTTGATTTGAATAAAGTGTTTATTTCATGTTTCATCTGTTTTTACATATTTAAAATATCTTCCTTTCTCATATTTCTCAGTACTAGTCCTTACAGGCTCCCACTACTTGAGTTTTGGGGGCATACAATCAAGGTGTTGGCCCTGAGCATCACCAAATATCACCACATCACTGAATATTCAAAATGCATTTGCAAAAGTGTAGATATTCATTCTTCAGTCAAATTATGAAAAACCCATTTTCCATGATTTGATATGTTTCCAAGTTGTTGCCAATGACATTGAATGGCTTGATTTCAGTTTTTGAGCTTATTCAACCACAACAATATGATTTATATCATGTTCAGACAAAATTAGGTAATCATTGAGCTCCACAGAATAACCTGTTCATGGCACATCTCTTAGATCTAAGTCAACTTTTCTAATCTTTTCAAACCATCCTCAGTAATTACAATCATTTCATGTTTTACATGCTCTATAGACATGTCAGTCTTCATTAGGGTCAAGTAAATAACTTAGTTTGACAGATCATATTCTGTGAACAACTTTTTTTGCTTGTTAATAGTAAAAACATGCATTGTTATTTTTTTTAAATCAGAATCACTCAAAGCAAGGTAGTGATGCCATTAAACACAAGGGATTACAGGGTGTGGAAGAATTAGGAACAAAAACATTAATGATGAGCAGAAAGAGAAGATTGTAATCAGGTGGACAGTAGATAGTGATTGGCACTGCATTTAAATTTTTGCAGATTAAAGTTGGCTGGAAAGCATGGAGCCAGAAGGGAGTTCCACAAGTGAGAAGTGTGAGAGAAGAAACTGTTAGCAAAGAATATATATATCTAGCCAGCTCAACTTTAAATTGATGAGATCTCAACACCAGTCTAATGCTGCACTTAAATTCAAAAACTTTAGGTGCTATAGCAAAGAGCCATGAAAGTATTTATAGAAAACACATATTGAGGCAACCATGGTGGTGGGAAAGTGGCTGGAGCTAAGCCACCAGATCAGGACCTATAATATTACACATTCTTCTTTGGATATTATCATGGAGCTCAAGGTAAATAGCAGGGGCAATGGACCATACATAAGCATGAGCAAATGGTAGACTTATAGATATGTAAGATAGATTCAGGAGAGAAAAATTGTCTCGCCCTACATAGTGAACCGACTTTCTTAGAGGCTGACCTAGCAATGGATTCAATATAGTCTTTCCACTTCATATCAGCAGAGAATGTGAGCCCATATCATTTAGATATTTAAGAAGACACAATGTCATTGCACCTATTTCTTTTGCATTTTGAACATACTTATGAAATGACCAGATTGTTATTTAATATTTTTAATAATCATACCCAATTTATCATTAGAAATAAATCATGTATAATAAATTTCTATTGTTAAACCAACCATTAAGCATTGTGATAAAAAGCAACAATAATAAGATAAGTTTATATTTCTGAGATGAGGTATTATGTACACTATTTACATTATTCAGACTATTGTCCTCATCTTTGTTGCCATATTTATCACAACCTTTTCAGCCATTTGTACGCTCCGGCCTTCTTCAGGTGGTTGGAATGCCAAACTGAACCCGTTATTTCACTTGCTGGGGTAGACTGTTCTAGTTCTACGTGCCATGTCTAATAGATGTCAGTTATCAGTTATCTCCTGTTAATTCCCCTCTCCAAGCTCTGCCTTAAACAGGTAATGAACTCACACTGTCACTGGATCTAACCAACACCTTTATCCACTGTGCCATGTGTCCTTAAGGACATCTGTATATTCTGGGACTTATAAACTTAATGTTTTCAGCAACCATTTTTACTAGTGTTCATATTGCAATTTTTGCTGCTATCTTTGCTTGTTTTTTACCAGAGCTCATATTGCAATTTTCGTTGTTATTATTGCTTTTCTCTGGCATTCCTTATTACTGGTTCCCATATTGTATTCATTTCTATGCTTGGTCGGCTCAGGAGATTTTTGTAGCCTAGCATATGTGCTGATTCCTTAAGTTTACAAATTTTCCAAGGATTTTCTTTGTCTATGATTTCAACCTGATCCCACAGAGAGCGGTGATCTCCCTTTTCTCTCCGTATGTGGTCAACCAAGCCTGATTTTTCCACTTCCCATCATGTTACAGCTTCTTTTAACAGGAGATAACTGATAACTGACATCCATTAGACATGTCACATGGAACTAGAATAGTTTACCCCAGCGAGTGAAATAAAGGGTTCAGTTCGACATTCCAACTATCTGAAGAAGGCCAGAGTGTACAACAGCTGAAACATTGTGATAAATATGAGGACAATAGTCCTAATAATGTAAATAGTGTAGAATAAAACTAGTAATAAAATACTTGTAATATTGTTCTGTAATAAATTATATTTCTATTACGAAGCCAGCAATTGAGGGTTGTGATAAAAAAGTAACAATAATAAGATGAAGAATAACAACTGACCCTATGGCAGGTAAACTAGACCAGCAACACCAATGTGCTTCCATTAAGAGTGAGGCCTTCAGTCAGTAACAGATCTAGCAGCAGTAGAGATTAACTCTCGACCACTACAATGCAATAATTTATGGAATATTTCTTCCAGTCACTCTACAAGAGAATAAATGTTTCAGCCAACACAATATAAAAAATAAAAATAAATTTAATATTCTATTTTGGTGCTATTAATGGTTTAGGAACCAGTTGATTAGAACAAGTCTACTTATGCAGTTTTATCAATTAAAATCTTTTCATCTCCACAGGTGAAGAGCAAGTTGGTTGTTCTTTGTACCAAATGGAAAATCCTTTTGGAGTCACTCAGTCTCACTCAGGTAAAACTTTTTATAAATATTCCAATCTTATTATTGTCAAATATAAAATTTGTTTGCACAAAAAGCAGAAATAATGCACAACTTTGTCCATTCATAGGATAATGAAGCTCACATGAAATAACATGTTTGTAGATAATTTTTCTGACTCTTTTTTTTTTTTTATAGATACACAACTATAAATAAAATAATGTCATTTCCTTTCTATAATGTTTTCAAGATGATGATAAAAACTGACACATTTGACACAGTCATTCAGACCAGTTTCCATGTTTTTGATGCAATGTTTTGGTTTGAAGTACTAATATTAACAAAATTACTTACTAGTCTTGTTTATCAAATATTGATTGCATCCATACATATTAAAATATACTGTCATTTTTCCATCTATATGTATGTGATGGGTTACCAACCAAATATCAAAATTCATTTTGAAATTCCTTCTTGGCTGGACCAAGAACTTTGCAGCACCTCTTCCTATATAGTGTATATGCTTATGTATTTAGGCACCAACTCTTCATTAATAATCAAGGAACATCTTTTGTAGCTGAATATCAATCACCAATATGCATTCATGTTCATCTTTACAAAAGCTATAAAAGTTAATTAAAAAATTAGTTCTTTAATCAAGCCTATATTAATGAAGGAATGTTGCCTAAGTACATGCACACAAATTGCTACCCAAAAGGAATTTGGTTATGAAAGAAGTTATTTACCTTAACACCTTGTTTCCACTATCTCTCGGCATAAAATGACCACTAAGGTTGGAATACAGTTAAACAAAACAACCAAACCATCCACTATCTCCTTCAAAGTAGGCTTCTTTGCCATCTATTGACTGATCTGATAAAATGTACTGGCAAAAATCCATATTGCATTTAGTATGTTCAAAATCACAAATCTTTGGTGTAGCACTTTGTAAAACATGAGTTGCTAACATTTTGGAGATGCTTTGAAATACTATCTACAAAAATACTTTCTCATTTCTTCAATTTTTTTTCACCTGTTAAGTGCATTATTCTGATAAGCAAACACATTTCTACTGTGAATGGAGTTTTATTATCTCTTTAATTCTTTGAAGACAAATATATGCTTTAATTTTTCTGCTTTAACTCAGGAATCAGCAAACTACATCCAACTTCATTTAATATGAATGTGTATCATGTTTTAGGATATTTTCTTTTTTTTTTTTCTTATATATTTTATGATTAGCACACCTTTTCTTTTTTGTAAGATTTACATTATTATTTACCTTAGAATTGTCCTCATTTTCATTGTTAGCAAAACATTTCAATCCTTGTACCCTCCAGTCTTTTCACTTTCTTGTCAATATGGGTAACCTTTAAAGAATTTAAAGCTTAACCGGTTATTTAATCTAGAATTGTTCTCCTTCTTCTTTTCATGTTTAAAGATGTCTCTTCTTGTTATTTAATACTGCTCATTTATTGCTCACCCTGTTTCCACTGAGCCTTAAGTCTGTAATACCCAGCCTAGGGATTGAACTCACAATTATTATGTTACCAATTTCATAAATATACGTGATAATAACAACAAGGATGAGCAGGATAGTCCAAGTGTAAATAATACAAATAATGATAACTCCTAAACACAGATATTCAGACAAAAATTTGTAAGATTATTTTTTTTTTAACTGTCTTAACAAGGGCACTTTCTCTAAAGATAGAGGAGAGACAATAGAAATACTGCAAACAAATTCAAGGGTTAACTCTCCTTCAAATAATCCTGATAAAAAAAAATGTAATGCCTAAATGCTTGCCTTCAGGTATTTAAAACTTTGTTAAATTTATCATCTTTTGCAGAAAAGTCTGTTTGCCTTTACACGTCAGCAGTCTTTAATGACCCCAATGACTGTAGAGATGACCTCCCAGTCTTACGATTCAGATTCTGACTCCGACACCAACTCTGACCACTTCTCCAGTTCTGTGTCCAGTGTACTCAGTCTGCCCGAAATCTGAACTTGCATTTCATCACAGCTTTTTATCATAATCACTTGAGTCACAAGAAGAATTTTCAAGTGATTCCTTTAAAGACAACAAGTAGGAATTATTTTGCAACAGTTTATTTTAATAATGTATTTTTGTCCCTTGAATGGATTCTAAGTGAGGATAAAGTATCCAGGAGTTTGTGGCAATAATACAAGGAAGTGTCTGCAATGTGTCTATGTAACCTGTGATGTCACAGCTAATATTTATTAAATAATGCATTAAAATTTTCACTGATCTGCTAGAAAGCTAAAGTATAATGTTTATCTGTTAATGAATGAATAAAAATGTGTTAAAAGTAGCATTTGATGGATAAGCACCAAATTTTGCAGTTTTTGTCCTTTGTTAAATCAAGTTTCATCCATCAATCTGTGTACTGTACATTAAAAATCAAAACAATAATTTTACTATAAAAATGCATTGAATAGGATTTTTAGTAAGCAACAAGCATTGCAAACAAAATAGGGCTACTATATGTATAAGAGGTATGTATAAGCAAAAATGCTTCTGTATAGAATATCTGTTCCTATACTCAGAAATTATATTATCATTTGTCTTCTTGTCTTATGCAACTGTAGACTATAAGTTGCCTTTAACTTTGCAAAAAAAAAAGTGTATATTAGATTTAAATTATTGATCACTGAAACTAGCTCTTAACAATTTTTAATATAAGGCCCCAGATGCAATGTTAAAAATATAACATAAAATAGAATTTATAAACAATGCAATGTTCACTTTTTTGCTATTTCTAAAGTTTCCATGTTTTACAGTTTCTTTAGCTTGTAAAATTATCTGAAACACTACAACTATTTTTATCAAAGTACATAGTCAAGAAAAGCATTGGGCAATGTGTTCAAAGAACATCTGATTTTTAGTATAAACTGCTGATTACTTCATTCACCATTCTGCATATTTTGTTATATGCTGTGCATTATTTGTGCAGATGATTGTTGAAAAATAATTTCTGTCACTGACATTTTATAATGACACTTAAATATTTATAATTTTATTTTTTTAACTTCTGTAAGCTAAATACTTTTGGATTAAAATCAAGTAATTCCTTGACTTATTCAGACTAGTATCCTCATCTTTGCTGTTGTAATGGTAATGTTTTTCAAATAACATACAGTATTTTTATTATTATGTAACAAAATCTTGCTACTTTCTTACAAGGAACTATCCACTGATTTAAACACAAGTTTCATGCCATTACATGTACTTTTTTAATTCAGCTCTTATGTACTGAAAATTATAATAAACAAATAACACATATTAATTTTCATGTGAAATATATGCAAAAATTTGGCTATTTCTTTCCTTGCCATTAAATACTTTTTCAATACATATAGTCTGCTTTTTTCAGACTGACTTAAAATTTTCTGAAGAACACATTTGAAACATTGCAATAAAATAACCATGAGGATACTAGTCCAAATGATTATTGAATAATAATAAAAATAATAATGCTTCATCTCAAAATTCCAGATATTTATAAAAAGGTTTTTACAAATATCTGTCATTATTAACTTGGTTTTATAAACACTGCTTATGTATAAAAAATTTTATTTTCATGTATACCATTGCTACTGAAACAAAAGTTATATGTATCATTCAAGCAAGAGGTAAAATTTGAGGAAATTTGATATTCTAGATTTTTGGATACAAGGAAGTAAATGCAGGGGGAATAATGAGAAATTCTATTTCAAGTTTTACAAAAGATCCATCTTTATTTTTTGTTTGTATATTAAATTGTACAAAGAATCTGCCCCCAGTCTCTTTTCAAAGTGAAATGTTAAGAGGGACCATTCTTTGCATTCGTTTGCAGGTAAAATACAGACATAAGACTTGGCAGCTGGTTGACATGTCTCACTTTCAGTATTTTATGAATTCTTTAAAACATTGTAAAAATCTCAAAAAAATATCATGAATCTTTCTTTTTTAATTCTTTAATGAAATGATTATACACACTTACTCTAGTTTTCATACAATATTATGAAGAAGGAAATATGGATATGTTCTTCCATTGATACAAAATACAGTTCCAACATTTGCATGCTTCTTGAAGAAACTTTCAGTAATGGGCATTGGTTAGCATGAGTACTCTTATTGACCCACAGCCCTATATGCAACAAGGATCAATGCACTTTGTCATGATGCATTCCCTTTCTTACCCTGATTAATGCTATCTGCAATTTGTGCCATAGTAGCACTTTTGTTGTTTCATACTTGACAGAAGGTCCTCTCCATTCACTTTTTGAAACAATACTTGCCAGAATGTAGATCCTTGCTGTGTCAACAGATAACAGTGGCAATATTCAAATCTGATACAACATGGTTAGTGTCTCAGTTTATTTTTTTATAGCTATGAAAAATTTAAAATTATTTGCAGAAAAATGGAAAGTATGCAACCATGACCTTATTTTTAATGAATCTCAATTTTCAAGCTATTTTACAGAGTGTAAAATTGGAGTGCAGACTCTTACCAGATTACTAGTGTGTGGTACTGGTTAAAAAAGAAAGGTACTACAAGTTCAGTGGGTTACCCCAGAAAATGACTTCTTCAAATAAAACAAAAATTGAGGCCTTTACGTTTTTTAGGGTGATTTCAAGAGATGTGGAAAATGTTTGACAAGATGTTAGAAACATTTGAGACTATAATAGATAAACAGAGTCATCAAATTCTTTGAAATTTGGGATCACACTTTGAATGATGTTTCCATTATCTGATGGACAAAACAGTGGTTGAGTGTGCACTATTACAAACCACTTTTTTCATATCTACCTTATATACAAGGGAGGGGAAGCAACAAAACAGTGATGATGTATGTAATCTGACAGAAGTGCCAATATGCTATATATATATATATATATATATATATATATATGGGATGCAGCTCAGAATGAGAAATTGGAGAGCCAAGATCAAATTCCAGTCAAGTTCATTCCATTCACTTATGTATTTAGGAAAAGGTATGAATACATCTCATCTTCCCCTAGCTATAGGTTAAATAGTAGAGCAGTCTGAGCTTTTTAGCTTTTATTGGCAACCAGTTTACAAGAAGGATATCTTTGAATTCAAATCTTGACTAAGGTTGTTGGAGACCTTGTGGCATACTATGTCCACCAGTTCTTTGTATTCAGTTCTTCTAAAAAATGTGGTTGGTTCTGCATGAGCTGCCACCATTATAATCAAATTGTGTCTGGAACCTCATACACTGAAGACAATGGGAGAATCCATTATTATATATAAAAGTATAGTATCTATAGAAATGACAGGATTATTTACATATGGATTGACACTTCTGCCTAGAATTATCATGTAGTGTAGAAAGCAACACAAATGTCAACATCTTTTATGTCAATAAATAAAGATTTGGCTGTTTCTATGGAGATATGAGATAGAATTACTGCTGTCAGCACTGAGAACAGAAATGGCAAATCTCATTTAAATTTTTATTGTGGCTGTTTAATTTCAATTTGCACAAATGCACAAAGGGCATGAATCCTCTTCTTTTCTCAAGAGATATTAACTCAAAAACGTTTTATCACTGACTTGCTATAATAATTAAAGAAGAGTGAAAATTTGAGCAAATCACTACCCCATAATTAGCTTACCTGTCCATGACAAAAACAGCAAGAACTTTTCATTCTCATTATTAACCTTCACAGGGACTAGCTATAAAAATGCATATGTTCAGAGAACATGCCTGTAACAAATCAGTATTCAATGTTTAAATAATGATAACCTGTGTTTTTTAATCAAACATTGTTGATTTAGAAGCATGTTGAGTTAGATTTTTGAACAGGATATATGTCTATAGAATTTCATGGAAGTAGTGCTATAAAGACAGCAGCAATATATCCAACAAAACATTAATTTTGGTGAGGTATGATTTCAGAGTAGAAATGGCATACCCAGGGTATGCCACCTTATGGCATCACCTGACTTTGTTAGTTTTCCCCGTTTCAGAATACCAAATCAAGGCAGATGCAACCTGATTTTGTGTTCTATATATTTCTATTTTTTTCTGATGTAAGCAATCCGAATATATAAGGAACTACTGAAAAGTTCTCAGCCTTACCAAAAAGGGGTTCTAATATAAATTCTGATTTTTGATCCTTTGGTTAGATTTTGGGAAGTGGATTAGAGCTGAGAACTTTTTCAGCACCCCCATGTATATTTGCGTAGGTGATTTCTACATGTAAATCTCAAATTTTACTTTTTTTATGTTTCCAGTTTAAATCTTACAGATAATTTTTTTTTTTCCTGTGGAATTATATAATAATTTTAAATAAAACACAGGACTGGAAGTTCAAAGAGGGTGCTGAAAAGTTTTCAGCATAATTCACTTCCCAAAATCTAACCAAACATCAGAATCTATTTTGATTCTTGATTGGGCCAAGAATATTTTAGCACCTCCTCATACAGGCATACATTTAAAGATATTGGCCTGATATTAATTCTGTTGTGTAAAAGATGAAATTGTGTACATTTTGGATCCTCTGTAAGCTGTGTATATAAAAGTATGTAAAATATATCTGACTACAGATAAACTTTTTAAGATTTTTTTGTCTTGTTTTTATTAGGTTTTGTCTCAGTTCAAACATTATTTTTTATGAATTAAACTATTTTTATACAAAAAAATTGTTTTTTGTTGTAATTAAACATTTTCTGGCATGAGCTGATTGTGTGTTTAAGCTGTAAATTGTTGTGTATGTATATATATATATATATATATATATATAGAGAGAGAGAGAGAGAGAGGAAAATTTTATTTTTCAAACATGATACATTGTAGCCATGTTCATAGTTGATGTTATTGAGTGTTGGCTTTTACTTTTTTATTAATAATGCTTTCATCATTTTTAACCTTTTTTTAATATGTGGATGAGGCTATTTGTATTGTCTACAAATATGTTGCTGATGGAATTTGGTAAATCTCTAAGTTTATTAAAATGAGACCTAATTGAGC